ACAGGAAATTGTAGATCTGACACAGAATGATGGAGATGTTGAGAAAAGTAGACAGGCTCCCATTCATCTTCAGCAAGCTTTCTTGGAGTGGATGAGACCAAACACCTTTGGTAAGTCACAAATTTACAAAACCATATTTTTTTCTGTTTTTTAATTGAACTTTAGATGAAGGTTTAGAAGTGAGCCACGAGGAAGTGACCCCATCCAATCCATCGGCAAATCTGTCAACTCTACCTTCAAAATACATCCAGAATCTGACCAATCATCAACACTTCTACTCCTACCTCTCTGGTCCAAGCTACCATTGTCTCTTCCCTGTCTTTCAGCTTCAGCCTTTGTCAGCCTACAGTCTATTCTCAACACAGAAACCTGGGGAATTCTGTCAAAAGGGAAGTCAGACCACTGCTCAAAACCTACCAACGGTTTCCAAAGTCCTTACTTTAACCCACAAGACCTGCACAATATGGCTCCTGTTACCTCTCATTCTTCTCTCACTCCTCCCACCCCTCACTCACTCTGTTGTAGTTACACTGGCCTCTCGGTTTTACTAGAAACACACTGGGCACTTTCCTGCACCAGGGCCCTTCCTTACTGTTCCCTCTCCCCAAGGATGCGCTTTCCTTCTCTTTCTTCAGGTTTTTATTCAATGTCACCTTCAAGAGAGTCCTTTTCTGGCGAGCCTAACAAAATTTCAACCTCTTACATATACCCACCACTTCCCATCTCTTCCCTGATTTATTTTTTCTCCTAAGACAGATTATGACCTAACATACTATATGTTTTACTAGTTTATCTTGTTTGTCTCCCCCACGAAAACGTAAGTTCCATGAGAGCAGGGCTTCTTGTCTGTCTTGTTCACTCTTCTATCCCAAGGACCTAGAACAGTGCACAGCACATAGTAAAACCAAAAAAAAAAAAAAAAAATCAAACCAGTTGCCATCGAGGCAATTTCAACTCATGGTGACCCCATGTGTTACAGAAAGAACTGCTCCATAGGGTTTTCTTGGTTGTCATCTTTATGCAAGCAGAT